CACCAGAAGACATCCCCCAGAACCACCAAGGCCCTCCCCAGAGCGAGAGCAGTGTCAACCCCCGGCGGCCAGCTCCCAAGAACTCCCCCAACCCCCCAGACCCCAATACACCCCCACCAGCCTCAATGCCCCAAGAGGTCCAATCCCAAACACCCCACCCTCACCATGTGATGGAACTAATCAAAGGAGAAAATCAGAATAAGTCACCTATGATGATTCCTCAGGTTGACATGGTGCAGACATAAACAGCTGCATAAAATTGTACATAATTGTGGAACAATGGCAGCTTTGGTGTTGCTGGATCGATTCGTTGTGTCACGCGATTTATGCGTCCCTCGCCATGTCGCAGAGCCGTTAACGTCACCCGCAGAGCGTTTTCAATGCTGACTGACCTAAGTAAAGTTTAGGAAGAAAGGAAAAACTCTTACCTGTAAAGATCCGCCCTCTATGAGACCCTTGAGTGAAAAGCAGAGACTTCGAACTTTAAACCAGTTTTTAAAACCAAACGCTGAAAACCAAAGCTCCAAGAGATGCGGAGAGACAAGATGTGGCCTCCAGATGGCACCATTTAGTATCTGGAAAGTGAAGCCAATAAATATTTTTTTTGAATATTTACAGCCTAATAGTAGTAGCAAATATTTGGAAGATCCAAGCCACCCTTTTTTTTTAGATCTCTGTAGTAGTTCAAACCTAATTCTTGGTTTCTTATCATCCCATATAAATGATGTGAACGCTTTATTGATCGATTTAAAGAAAGATTTGGGGTGATAGAGTGGTATAGTTTGAAACAAATAAATAAATCTTGGGAGCATGTTCATTTTTATACAATTTACCTTTCCTGCAAGAGATAATTGAATAGATTTCCATGTTTTCAGATCTAATTGGACTTTTTCAAGCAGTGGGCAGAAATTTGCCTGGTAAAGTTTCTTCATGTCCCTTGTAATATTAATACCCGGGTACTTAAAACCATCCCTAGACCATTTAAATGGCAAGATATTATCCTGTATTTGAAGGGCCAAGTCGTTCACAGGGTAGCATTCACTTTTACTAAAATTAAGTTTATACCCTAAGAAAGTACCAAAACTGTTAAGAGCGTGGATAATGTGAGGTACATTTGAAATGGGTCAGATAGGTACAATAATAAACCATCTGTGTATAAAGATACTCTGTGTTCCTCCGCCCCCCTATAGATCCCCCTTATTGATGTCAGTGATTTAAGTATTACAGATAATGGCTCTATTGCCAGGGCAAAAAGTAATGGGTTGGTAGGGCATCCCTGTCGAGTTCCCCTTGATAACTTGAAATATTGTGATTGTTTACCATTTGTAATTATAGAGGCCCTGGGTGAGGCAAATAACAGCTTGATCCATGAGATAAAATTTGGACCATACCCGAATTTCTCCAAGCAAGCAAATAAATATCTCCACTCTACCCTGTCAAAGGCCTTCTCTGCATCCAAAGCTAAAGACGTGCAGTTCCAGTTGACCCACCCTTTGATAAAAGTAAAAGTCGTAATAACATACAAATCTTACTTTCCTCCTTTCCTTGTTCTTAATTTGCCAAAACTTAAGCTAAAAGTGCCAGTAAAATTGTTTGGTTGTTAACATCAGAACTGAC